ATATATTAATAAAATAAAAAACCTGCATGTTTACTGCTGCCCATTAGTTTTAACTCCGATTGGTTGCTGTCTGTCTCTCACTCTGGTTGGCTGCTGCAGGACGTTATAGCTCAGAGAGTGATGTGTGGAGTTATGGCATCCTGCTGTGGGAAACCTTCAGTCTGGGGGTGTGTCCTTATCCAGGAATGACCAATCAACAGGCGCGGGAACAGGTGGAGAAAGGTAAACGTAGTCAGAGATTTTAGTCCTTTATATTTACATTACAAATTGGATTGTTTTTTAATCAAGGAAATGGCTGCTTCCAGGTTACAGGATGACATGTCCTCAGCGTTGTCCTGACGAGGTATACAAAGTGATGCAGCGCTGCTGGCAGTACAACCCAGAGGACCGACCCAAGTTCTTGGAGCTGCAGCGAGACCTGGCTGCTATTAAGAAGAAATAAACTCAAAACGCCATCAACAGCCTTTCTTTCTGTCTGGGAGAAGTGGGCAGGTTCTGAGTCTGACTGGACAGGAAGTAAAATCATATTTGAAGTCTTCCTTTCTGTCACACCTACAACAGCTACCTGTGTGGTGTTATACAAATGTGCAGGTGTGTACTCACCTCATAGACTGGAAACTTACGGCAAACCAACACTGGTAAACCAACATTGTGGTAAACCAATGCCAAGGTGTAAATCTAAGGTAAACGAACACTAAAGGTAGTAAACCAACAAAGTGTCAAAAACCAGTGGTACACCAACGCTAAGGAGGCAAACTTGGCAAACCAACGGTAAACCAATGCTAAGGAGGCAAACCAACGGTAAACCAACGCTAAGGAGGCACACCAATGCTAAGATGGCAAACACGTTAAACCATTGCTAAGGTGGAACACCGACGCTAAGATGGCAAACCAACGTTAAACCAACCCTAAGGAGGCAAACAAACTAAACCAATGCTAAGATGGCACACCGACACTAAGGTGGCAAACACTAAGGAATCCAACTAATGCTAATGTGGCAAACCAATGATAAACAAATGCTAAAGTGGTAAACAAACACTTAAGCTGGCAAATCAATGGTACACCAACGCTAAGGAGACAAACCAACACTATGGTGGCAAACCAACGTGAAACCAGTGCCAAGGTGGTAAACCAACACTAAAGTGGCAAGCATGATAAACCAACTCTAGGGTGGTACACCAATGAAAATATGGCATACCAATGCTAAGGTGGCAAAGTAAGGTGGTACACACGTTATACCAAGGCTAAAGTGGCACACCACAGCTACGATGGAAAACCAACACTAAAGGTAAACTAATGCTAATGTGGCAAACTAATGCTAATGTGGCAAACCATTGAGAAACCAATGCTAAGGTGGTAAATCAATGCTATGGTGGTCGACCCACGTTAAGGTTGCAAACTAATGCTATTGTTGAAAACCACTGCTATCGTGGAAAATTAAAAAAAAGTTTCTCAAAATGTATTTTTCATTTGTTTACACATTTTTTGTGGATAAACAATTTGAAAATCACATTAGTTATGGACCCCATCCCCCCCGCACTCCTGGACTCAAATCATGGAAACATATTTATGTAAAGCTCCACCCCCTACATTATGGCACTAATGTTTTTGTCAAGGCCCAAAGAGCTTTTTTTTACTTTTATTTATCATAAATTTATACATTTTATGACGAGCAGCTGCCAGTTGTTTCAGGCCACACCCACTCTGCCACAGAAAGTAGTTTTTGACTTGGTTTAGTTTATATTAAATATTTTCCAGCAGTCTTCACCTTAAAATGTTGTCATGGTAACAGAAGTTACATTTATATTTTTACTTTTTACAATACATATCGTTATCTGTTTAAAACAATTTCCTAGGCTGCATGCATGGGGGCGGAGCCTAAAGGGAGCTGTCCGAGCTCAAAGCGCCACCTACTGTTTGTGTAAATAAACTCCCAACTGTTTTTTTCCAGAACTAATTGTCTTTTACATTTGTTAAAAATGTATCATTTGTTACGAAAATAAATCCTATGATCTCAGTAACTTTGTATGACTATGTTTACAAATAAAACCTTATTTTTAAAATGGACTTTAGAACCGCACCACTCAACTGGTTATCAGTCGTTCTCAGTACTTACTGGCATTTGTTCCTCTAAACTGCAGGAAATTTAGAGACGCAACAGAAGCTAGTAGTTCTACAGCTGTTCTCTTCTCTACCGTGTTTTTAAAGTTCTGAGCTTAGACCAGTTCTGTCAGAGTGCAAGTAAATATTTTTGTTTACAATATTTATATATAAAGAACCAACATTAATCTATGAAACAAGACTGATGACAATTTTTCTGTCCCAACTTTATTAAAACTGTAAACTTCCAAATAAGGTTGGCAGCGTGGCCGGTTTGGGGTGAGGCTTGTAGCCGATTCTCTCATTGATAAGCTCCGCCCTCGACACAGGAGTTGAAGATGAGGCTGCAGCAGAAGCTCCACCCCCAATTAGATCAACTCCAATGACAGAAGCTCCTCCCACCCCACCTCCTGATTCTGCTTCATCTCGCTGACGCTTTCTGGCCTAAAAAGCAAAACAAACAAACAAACGTGTTTACCACTCAGCTGAATGAACTAATTCAGATATGATCAATCTATTACTTTTAATTCTACAATACAGCAGGAACCAGATGCCTGATCAATAAGGTGTTTTGCTGACAGGAGTAAAGACGTGACTGGTGGAAACCTCAAGTTCTTTCTTGATGCTCTCAAACTCTTCTGTGTCGTCGATCTTGAGCTCCAAACGAGTTGGTTTCCTCCTCAGCATCTTTTTCTTATTTTTCACTCTGTTAAAACAAACGATCACTTTGATCAGCTATTGATTATTAACCATTAAAAAGAAGAAACCATTTTTATTTGCCGTTTAAATGACAGCTGTAAACATGAATGTTGAAACACTAAAAAGTAGAATTATAAAAATACTGTTTTCTTCATCTTGAGTCCCATAGACATGTACACGCCTCAATGAGCGCTGAATCGTACATCGATGTTGCCGCCATCAAGTCAAGGTTTTTATTGTCATTCGCACCACATGCACATGTGGAAGGAAATTGTGTACACGGTCCCAGTTACATCCAACGTCAGTATACATTGTAAAGAAAAAATAAGATCTAAGATATGAACTAAGAAATATGCTAAATTAAGAATACACTAAGCACTGGTAGTACAAAAACAATACGCCAAACAGCAGCACGAACATGAGTGTGTGAGCAAATGGGTATGACTGAATGAGCAGTATGAGAATATCAGCAGCATGAGATCAGCAGCATGGATAGTCAGCAGCACATATCAACAAAGTGGCATTACAGTGATTTTTTTTCACAGTGATTATCCTGATTAGAGATTCATGAGTCTAAAAGCTTCAGGGTAGAAGCTGTTCCTCAGTCTAGGGGTTCTACACTTAATGCTCATCAGCCTCCTTCCTGAGGGGAGCGGGGCAAAAAGTGTGTGTTGGGTGAGTGAGGTCCTTCATGATGCAGGTGGCTCTTTTCCTACATCTGGAGGTGTAAATGTCTGATGGTGGGGTAACCTGCTCGCTGATAGGCAGCAGCTCTATCAATTGAGCCACCGTGCTGCCCTATATATATATTCAATTACCCCCCCCCCCCCCCCC